CAAACATCAATTCGACACAACTGACAACATTCTACAGGATATTTGTCTTATATTGTTTATGTAAACAATATCCCACCACTGCCACCATTTGCCAAGAAGTCAGACATTAATAGGACCAGGACTGAATAATTAATGCCAAATAATGCAGATATTCCAACTTATGTTTCCGTATTATTCTATTAATGCATAGATTCCCATGGGAACCAGGACGAGCAACTGGTGTACTTTCAAAACACAATGTATCACAAATTTAACACTTTTGCCTAACGGCCTTACATATACCGGTAACAACGACCAAGACATATCACAGGAAGACACAGACTTAACTTAGTATGACTGGACAGACCAAGTCAGTATTACAACCAAAAACTTAGATGCAAATCACATACGACTTAAGCCAAGGTTTGGGTATGAACAGAATAATGCCGTGCCTGTGCTCAGGTTCCAACAGTGCCTCGATATACCTTTTTCACCAGGACAATATGTGTTCTGACTACCCTTTATACTGCCACCCAGAAACTCCCTCCAGGACAGATTTTTCTCCACACGGCAGATGTAGTGTGATGAGCTTGGGTGGTTTTCAATGTCATGTACTTTACTACATCATCTGCGCATGTGTTATCAGAACGCCTTCATTACTATAATAAACCAGTTTTGCTGTTTATACCGGGCTTGTATCTTTAGCCTATCACGGCCTTCACTCTCCCAATATCCCAACAGCAGGTTATGGTGCATTCTACGAAGGCCAGTTTCCAACAGCGGGGAGTATCTGTTAATTAATGATTGACCTACCCCTGTTATTTTTAATCCCTCGCCTGTTCAAATATTAATGCAATCTGAACAGATATACCACCCTCAATGTTCATTCCCACATAATCAGAAGAAACAACAGTAGTTTCAATATCTGGTAATTTACCCTCATTTACAAAGTGCGGAGATAGGCGTACTCCAAGCCTATCAGTATTATATATCTATCAATATCAATATTGCTTGGCAATGAGACAAGTACTAAAAAGGCAGACAATACAATATACACTACAATACACTACTGGATCAAGATCAAACATCTTAATAAATAAATACCTGATAAGTGTATACCACCAGAATAACCACCCGTGTCATGTGCATGTCTGTTTTAGAAATGATGAGGGCGTAGATCAACAAGGACAGTACAGAGCACATTAATTGTAGTTATTCATAGTTTGATTTGTACATTGACTGACTGTAGTATATGGTGATGGCCTGATGTAAACGGATATGTATATCCATCCATTCAAAGGGTCAATGACTGGAGAGTTTCCAAACATAAAAATCAGTGTGATATATATAATATTACAAGTCAATAATGTCAAAAAAAGTATAGAAAAATGTCCTGGCGATAATTATTGTAGAATATCAAGCACTATATATTCTTTATATGTGTAAAATAAAAGTCAAACATATTTTTGTCAGTCAAACTTACTGGTCAGTGAAGCGGTCAACAGGGATTCAAAAGTCCACCAAATGACATGTTTACATAAATACACAACATATATCAGTTATTTCTGTCATTTGTAGTTTGGTATTTGCTTTGAAGATATTTTTTTTCTCAAATATTAATTGCTTCAATATTGTTCTAGAAAATGGATTAGAATAGACAATGCGTTATAGTTATGTAAACAATGTATTAAACGCATTGCATGCGTAAAATACAACACAGCGTGACGACCGGGACACTTAAATGTACACCTATCCACTCTCACATACACGCGTCATGTTTCACAATACACTGGATATATAAGCGAATATGATGCACACATAATATAATTCAGTAAATGAGTTTATTTTTGAAATTACAATTAATTATTATACACTGCACCCTTTGCTTTTAAATAATTAATTATACTGAATCTATCCATGGAGTGCATTGGAATTTTAAAACTATCCGCACCATTAACACAGCTCTACTATAATGTGAATACATACAACACATCATCCGCTCGTTAGAAATGTATTTGTGGTTATTAAAGAAACAAACTCTCATTTTTCGGAAATAGTATTGATAGAATATTAGAGTACATTAACTAACACAAATGGTTGACAATATCAAGTAAGTTGGTGAAAATAAGAAAGTTGGCTAAATGAACTTTGTTTTGTCCTAATGTTTGCATTTCATTTATGAAAATTATTGCCATTGTAAAGACATAACAATCACACGGATTCGTATTAACATAATCCCATAATCGGGACAAGATTATGTGCATCTGTCAAAATATGTTCTGTCTATTTACAGTGCTTCATCCGTATTCCAAACTGCGCGGTGGAAACAGAATTTGTTCCCAATTTTTTTCCAGATGCAGATCTCTTTACCTGGTTTTGCCACCTTCTCACCTCGTTTGTATAAGTTGAATGCTATGGTTGAGTACACCAAATCATCTTTACCAATTGTTCCCGTATCAGTTATAGTAAATTTTAACTCGTCATATTCTACCATATACTGCTTAATCAGACGTCCAATAGCTTCAATAAAAAAACATTAATTTTTTTGTAAAACTAAAAATTGTTATTGTAGAATGTTGTCTACTCGATTTCAACTTAATGCCGATAGTTTGAAGTTGCATTTTTATTCTATCTATTGGGTAATTTTAAATCTGCACCTTATAGTTGAATAAGCTGTTTAGTAAAAAATTAACATCACATAACTGTCATATCAGTAACATACTCAGGACAGAGCTTTAAATCTACCTGTTATATCCGCCCGTCCTTGCATTATTGCATCGGGGGTATAAAATTCAATTAGGTCTTCCCAAATACCAGTACGATACACATTAGAAAATTCGTCAATTCTCTGCTGGAGCTCGGTTTTAACGTCAATGGTGGTCGACATGGCGGATGCCTGGTCTGCTTGACAATGTTAGGTACGTGGCACCTGATCACGTGAAACTTCGATGATGATTTGTCAATACGGCACTGTTTTTCAGACCGCCATGCAGTTCAGTTAGACACTAGACAAGATAAACAAGTACATCTTACCGTTCACAGGAAACATAGTGGTTGTGAATATGGCTTCTTGTGGCAACATGCGCTACGTGTCAGCGCTATCTTTTGCAATGTGTAGTACGAAGGTCGAGGGAAGACAATGTTGACATTTATGTCCTGAACTGTCGCATGGCCCAGAAAAAATAAAAAAAATACAAGCACCTCAACGCTGTCATGGTGGCCAAAGTACCAAACACATCTGATGTACAGGTATCATCTATATTTCAATTGATCTATTGTTCGAACAAATAGCTTGGGTTTTCAAATCAATATTATACTGAGAACAGTAAACCAGTTGTTAGTGTACATGTTATTTACGTGTCTAGCTCGTCTGGGGTGAGGTTACAAAGGTCAGTGGATGAGTGCTATCTTAATGCTATACGTTGATGATTAATTTAGCCTTGGTGTTAACTACACGATGATTATATTACTTCATATACTGACCTATACACTCATTTATATTATATGATGTAGGATCAAAACAATGATTGAATAGTTTAAGTATATCAACTGTAGAACAATTGATGTCTTATGAAATGAGTTAACATTAAGCCTCGACACTGAGCTCTTATGAATGGTGCAAGATTACCACCAAAATTATCTGTCTAGATTGGTTTGTGATTCTTTGCTTATTATGTAAGTGCGTGTATAACATTATTTTATAACAATTTCATTTACAAATATTAATATTCTGCCATTATTGGATTCTTATTTCACTAATGTTTGCTTATTTTGCTATCATATCAATTATTCCACTAACAAATCATTGTTACTTTTGCCACGTTTTTTCAATTTGTTTTCGAATTTTATGTCATTTTATTTGCTTAACATGTTGTGTGGATAATAGGCATTGTTCGATATGCAATAATGAAATATTTGTCACACTATTTAAAATTGTATTTTACTGTACTATAACATTCTGTAATTGTGAC